TGCTGAGACCCGGTCTCCTGGAGCCGAGTCTCAAGACGCTGAGACCCGGTCTCCTGGAGCCGAGTCTCAAGACCCTGAGACCCGGTCTCCTGGAGCCGAGTCTGAAGATGCTGAGACCCGGTCTCCTGGAGCCGAGTCTCAAGACCCTGAGACCCGGTCTCCTGGAGCCGAGTCTCAAGAACCCTGAGACCCGGTCTCCTGGAGCCGAGTCTCAAGAACCCTGAGACCCGGTCTCCTGGAGCCGAGTCTCCCAGACCCCTTGAGAGTGCTTTGTGAGCGTGGCTTGCCACTCACAGCGTCTCGAACATCGCGTGCGAGTCGGCGGTTCTCGTCCGAGCCGGGCCGGGCTTGTCGGGCCGTCACGGGCCTGGCGAGCCTCAGGAACGAGGCCACGCTCAGGAGAGCTCCTTCTGTTTGTGGGGTGTTTGTAGCACACACGCACACACACAAAGACAAAGATCCCCCGTGTAGCCTGTAACAGAATGTCGGGGCAAGTGCTGTTAGCGAGTAGGCAGCGCCTATCAAGGCCGGAGCTGTTGCACATGAGGGGGGTAGGTGGCTAGCACCACGTCTGGCCACCTTTTTCTCGCCAGTGGCGATGTTTACACAATGCACCAGGTACTTGTTTGATGCTGAGTCGATCTAGGGGAGGCCCACGACTGGTTCAGATAATCGTCACTGGTGTTGGTGGCCGTGAGCGGGAATCGAACTCGGGTGGCCGGGTTCGTAGCGCAGCGCGCTAATCACTACACTACCGCTCCCCACACACAACAACAACCGCCATTCACCACTAAGTGGCGGTGACGTCACCACAACGCTTGTGCCAGGCTATGTGCACCTTGAGGCCACGTGAAGTGTCGAACGCCTGCTGGCAGGAGGTCACGGGGCAGACCCAGGTTCTACAGGTCGACTGACTGAGATGACTGGCTGATGCACCACCTGTGCCCCCTACTGTGCCAACTTGCTGTGCTTTAGCCACCCGGCGCTCCGCTCGTTGTTGTGAGCGTCGCTCCTCCCCCCACCGTTGTTGTTGGAGGGCGACTGCCTCCAACTGCCCAGTAGCATCCTTCACGAGCCTCCTCCACAGAGGCCGATCTTGACACCGCTGGTACCAGTCATCGGCAAGTCCACTCAGCTCCACGTCCTCTTGTACCACATCACTCCATCTCTTCTGTAGCCCGTGCCGCGCCCGTTTAGCCCCCTCGATCCGGCCGAACAAGAGCTGTTTAGGCATGCGGTGGCTGGACATGCGGGCTACATGACCCAGCCAACGCAGCCTTGCCTGCCGGAGGAGCTCACTGATGAGACTTTGTTCAGATCTTTCAAGGATATGCGAGCTCCTCACACAATCCAGCCTGGTTAAAGCCAGGATGGATCATAGGCAGGCCAGCCTAAATGTTTCTAACTGACGAATATGTTCCACACACGCACACAAACAGACACCAATAACCAACCAACCAATAGGCCTGTGTGTCTCGAGAGACAATTCTTCGTGCCTTACGAGGTCAGCTGTAGGTTTTGCAGCGCCTAGAATGACTTAGTAGGTCAGTCCTTGAGTGGCAATCCTTGCCACAGCAATTGCAAGTGAATGCGGTGGCAGCTCCAGAGGTGTTTGTTGCTTGTTCTTTACGTTGCTCCCTCTTGTTAGATCAATGAATGCCAAGTACAGGGGAATTCTCTGTTCGCAACATTTCTCCTGTAGCTGACGCAAGGAGAAGAGCACGTCGATCGTGGACCTTCCTGCTCTGAAGCCACCCTGAGCCTCAGGATACGTCCTCTCGGCTAGTATCTGTAACCTGCTGAGGACCACACGGGCAAAGGTTTTCCCTACGATGCTCAGCAGGGAGATGCCGCGGTAGTTATTGCAGTCGCCACGGTCACACTTGTTTTTATACAGGGTGATGATGTTGGAGTCTCTCTTGTCTCGAGGCACTGCTCCTTCTTCTCAGCACTGGCAGAGAAGTTGATGGAGTTTTGTGAGGACGGCAGGTTTCACACATTTCAGTACCTCAGGTGTGATGCCGTCCTGACCCGGGGACTTGCCGCTGGCTAGCGAGTTGATGGCGTTATCCAGTTCCTTCAAGGCTGGAACATTGTCCAGTTCGTGTATCGTTGGTAGGGACTTTACAGCAGCAAGGGCAGCTTCTGACACACCGATGTCTCATGAGTAGAGCTCTGAGTAGTGTTCTACCCACCTGGCCATTTGCTCTTGTTTATCAGTGATGATGGCCCCTGTGCTGGATTTCAGGGGGGCAGCCCTCCTGATGTTTGAACCACAGGCTGTCTTGATGCCTTCATACATGGCACGGATATTACCAGTGTCAGAGGCGAGTTGGATCCTACTGCTGAGGTTCAGCCAGTAGTTGTTGGTGCAGCGTCTGGCGGTCGTTTGAGCTGCACTGTGGGCAGCTTTCAGAGCCCTTAACGATCCTGTACTTGGGACTTGCTTGTACTTCAGGAGCGCTGTGCGCTTGGCTTGGAGGATGGGTTCCAACATAGCCAAGTGTTCCTCAAACCAGTCTGTATTCCGCCTTGTCTGCTTGCCGAAGGTATTGATGGCTGCATTGAAGATGGCGTCTCTGATGTATGCCCACTTTGTCTCCACGCTTCCATCTAGTGTGTCGTGTAGGGACTGCTCAAGGCTGTGTTGGAATGATTGAGTGAGCTCTGGGAGGAAGGTCTTGGCAGAGTTGATGCGTAGGTAGTTCTTTTATTTGAAGCGGTGTATATTTTTGGGGCGTAGTCTGAACTTGCTGGATACCAGTTAGTGATCGGTGTCACAGACTGCACTGTGGTAGTTGCGTGTGATGAGTACTGATTTGAGGAGGGCTCGTCGGGTGATTACGAGGTCCAGTTGATGCCAAGAGATCTTGGATGTCTCTATGACACTATATGGAAAGGTTTAGTGAGAAAGATTGAGTTTGTGATACAGAGATTGTGGTATGAACAAAGCTCCAGTAGTCTTTGGCCACTGGCATTCATTTTTCCGATGCCGTGATAGCCAAGGTATGCGGGCCACGCGTCGTGGACAGCCCCAACCCTTGCATTGAAGTCTCCTAAAAGAAACATGTGCTCAGAGCTGGAGATTTTGCAAATAATATAGTGAAGCTCTTCATAGAACTGGTCATGAATCTCTGGAGGTGAGTAGAGTGTTGGGGCATAGACACTCAGGATGTTTACATGGCCAGAAGCAGTGAGCAGTTTCATGAGCAGAATCCGCTCGGAGCCTGCGGTTGGTGGTTCCGTCATGCCAAGGAGTGTGTTTTTGACGCCGAACTCAACGCCGTGTTGCCTTGGTTCGTTCTGCTGTTTGCCTTGCCAGTAGAAAGTGTAGTAACTCTCTCGTAGTGAACCACTGCCAGCAAGCCGGGTCTCCTGCAGTGCTGCAATATCCACATGGAGTCTCGCCAGCTCCCTGTCGATAACTGCAGTCCTGCGGATGTCCTCAATCTGCAATAGATCTTCGGAGAGTCCAGCTCACTTTCTTTTTTTTTTGCTTTAATCTGGTGCAGGTGTAGTGACATGGAATGGGTCACTACGTAGCATAGCGCTGGTTGCTGGCAGAGAAGGGGATCTGCAGTTGCAGCAGCCCTGTCTGACAGCAGGTCACATGATAAGTCAGAGAGAGGGATTTAGGGGAAAGGTTACAGAGGGGGCACGTGAGGGAAGCCCGGGAACCCGCTAGTAGGTTCTAGAAGGGGGGCGTGGCTGGGGCGGAGCGAAGCCATGCCGGGAGAATAAAAGGGGACCCCAAGCGAAGGCTCGGGACTGTTGCTTGGAGTGGGATCCCGTTGTGCCACTGGAGTCTTCGCTGTCATCTACATCTTCACCTCGGCGTCGTCAGTCAGGCAGTCTGCCAGCTTGTCCTGACTGGGAGCTGTAGTTACCTCTTGTGAACTGTGAAGGCTGTTAATAAATAGAGTGCCTCTTACTCCTAGTGTCTCTGAATCAGTCACTACATTTGGAGTCAGAAGTGTAATTTTTTTTATATGTCAAAGTCGACCAAGAACAAGAATTCTACTATTGTGTCCTCGGGCGAAGAGGACGACGGAAAAGTGATTTCCCCAACAGCCCTGGCATCCAGGACCCCGGAGATTGGTCCTGAGAAGGCGATCCCTGCGGAGCAACGTGTGAGGGACATCGACTCTTTGCTGCCGCCGACCGGAGCAGGATGGCACACGCACAACGTATGCCTCGCGGACTTGCTCTCTGCTGCGACGGAGCTAGTTGCTACAGCTTAGGGTGGAAGCGCCTGTCGAGGAAGCTACAGCACGGGAGCATCGAGCGGGCAGCTCTACCGTCGCCGTCGGCCAAGCGCGGGAATCGGCGGAGTCCCAGCACGCGCAAGCGGCCGCCATTTTGCCCGCCGGGAGCGACGCGCTAAATTCTGCCGCCATTTTGTCCATTGGGCGGGAAACGCTTCCCGCCAAATTCGACTTGACATCGGCGTCCCGTCCGGAGGTGCCTTCTCTGCAGAAGCGGCTGTCGGGTGTTCCGACGAGGTGGTGCTGTGGGCTCTTCCCACTACCATGGATGACGACTCCATGGCAGCGTTCGATGCCATCCCCGCAGCGGACAGAGCGATGCTGCCTCAAGCTTGCGCCCAGATGGCTGCCATTTTAGACCCGCCCCTCGCCTTTCGCAGCGGGCTGCTGTCGCTGGCCCACCCCACGTATCCGCAGACGGCGCTGGAATCTCTGGTGCTGGAAAGACTGCTGTCGCTAGTCCAGGAGATGAGCGTCTCTCTGCCTGCCACGGAGGAGGACGACTTGACGTGGCTGAAGGCAGCCCGATGCATCCAAGCACATTTCAACCGACAGCGGTGGCCCGGGGTGGCTGCCTGCACGGGATTCTCGGAGGACGAGCCGGAGCATCAGGAGCCGGTGCAAGCCTGTGCTTTGTTCGTTAGGAGCCGGTGCAGGAGGGTTGGTGCGGGACGATGACGGGAGCGGGAACGACGAAGTGGGACCCCCCCCCCCCTCCACCGTGGAGGTTCCCGGTCACTTGTTGTAAGTGCGGCCTGCGGGGCCACATCTCCAAGGGATGCCACTCCGACCCTGGATTGTTCTCCCTGCCTTGGCCGTCTCCTGCCCTGCCGACCATCGCTTTCCCGGGCCCACAGGCAAGCCGCGATGCATCAGACACCCGGCCGACACAGTCACTTCATGCTTCTCCCTCTCAGATCGTGTCGGGTTCACACGCCATCATCCCTGAACGTGTCGCGGCGCGCGAAAGTCGGACTTCCGCTGGTGGCGGATGGCCGTGGGGCACGGGGCAGTGGACCGTGTTGGTGCATTGTGTCGTGGCGGCGGCGGCGGGATCGTCTGCGGTTATTGGCTTCGTGCAGGGTGTCGAGCTAAGTGTGCTCATTGATATGGGAGCAGCCGCTAGTATTATCAAATACAAAAAAAATGTGATTAGGCTTGAGTGAGCCCTTACCTGGCAAATACAAACAAAAATAGTTAAATAGTTTTAAATCCACAGCCCCGGTACACCACATCCTAGTACAGAGGTGAATTCAGCTCTGGGACCCACCTTTGATGAACGGCAGAACGTCTCCTGCAACATCCGGAGACTCGCGGGGGGCCAGATGTGAGCCCCCTTCCCCGCTCTGAGCACTCGCCTCGATCTCAGCTGCTGCTGCTGCTGCTGATTCTGCTGCTTCTGTTGCTGCTCGTTCTGCTGCTGCTTCTGCTGCTGCTCGTTCTGCTTCTGCTGCTGCTTCTGCTGCTGCTTCTGCTGCTTCTGCTGCTGCTTCTGCTGCTGCTCGTTCAGCTGCTGCTCGTTCTGCTGCTGCTCGTTCTGCTTCTACTGCTGCTTCTGCTGCTGCTCGTTCTGCTTCTGATGCTGCTGCTTCTGCTGCTGCTCGTTCAGCTGCTGCTGCTTCTGCTGCTGCTGCTTCTGCTGCTGCTCGTTCTGCTGCTGCTTCTGCTGCTGCTTCTGCTGCTGCTTCTGCAGCTGCTCGTTCTGTTGCTGCTGCTGTGTCTGCTGCTGCTCGTTCTGCTTCTGCTGCTTCTGCTGCTGCTTCTGCTGCTACTTCTGCAGCTGCTCGTTCTGCTTCTACTGCTGCTTCTGCTGCTGCTCGTTCTGCTTCTGCTGCTTCTGCTGCTGCTTCTGCTGCTGCTTCTGTTGCTGCTCGTTCTGTTGCTGCTGCTGCGTCTGCTGCTGCTTCTGCTGCTGCTCGTTCTGCTTCTGCTGCTGCTTCTGCTGCTGCTTCTCCTGCTGCTGCGTCTGCTGCTGCTTCTGCTGCTGCTTCTCCTGCTGCGTCTGCTGCTGCTGCTGCTTCTGCTGCTGCTTCTGCTGCTGCTTCTGCTGCTGCTTCTGCTGCTGCTGCTCGTTCTGCTGCTGCTTCTGCTGCTGCTTCTGCTGCTGCTTCTGCTGCTTCTGCTGCTGCTGCTCGTTCTGCTTCTGCTGCTGTTGCTGCTTCTGCTGCTGCTCGTTCTGCTTCTGCTGCTGCTGCGTCTGCTGATTCTGCTGCTGCTTCTGCTTCTGCTGCTGCTCGTTCTGCTGCTGCTCCTTCTGATGCTGCGTCTGTTCCTGTTGCTTCTGCTGCTGCTTCTGCTGTTGCAGCCGGAGGCCCAGGGGTCAGCAAAGCCGTGGGTACAATCGCTCCTGCTGCTCCGGTCATTGCTGTTGCAACTGCTGCGGCTGGACTTGTCGCTGCTGTTGCCCTCACCACTGTCGGTAGTACTGCTGTTGCAGCAGTTGCTGTTGGACGTATAGCTCCTGCTGCTGCTGCTGGTGTGACTGCTGCTGCTACTGCTGCAGGTGTTGTAGTTGTGCCTGCTGTTGGTGCTGCTGCTATTGTTACTGCTGTTACAGCTGCTACTCCTGTTGTAGTTGTTGCAGTTGTAGCTGCTGCAGTTGCTACTGTTGTTGCTACCGTTGCTACTGCTGCTGGTCTAGTTGCTGTAGGTGTTGTAGTTGTTACTGCTATTGTAGCTGTTGCTGCTGCAGTTGTTACTGTTGTTGCTACTGCTGCTACTGCTGCTGTCATAGTTGTTGCCATCACCGTCGTTGCAGCCGGCACCGTTGCCTCGACGTTGCCCGCCAGCGCCCCCCCCTGCGTCGACGAGCTCTCGAGCACCGTCGCCTCCACCCCAGTTGCCCCCCCGCGCGTCGCCAGCGGTTCCGTCGCCGCTGCGACGGGTGTAGCAGGCGGTGGCGGTGGCGGTTCGGCCACCGGCGGAACTGTCGCGTCGGCAGCCGCCGGTAGCGCCGGGGTCCGGCTCCAGGGAGCCGGCGGCAGCGCCGTCTGGCCGGGCGGGCCGTCAGGGCGGGACGGTGCCGGCGGGAGGCTCGGCTCCAGCTGTTGGGGCGGACTCGTGAGGCCGTCTCGCCGGCCCTCGTCGGCGGTCGGAGTCCGGGAGGCACCCGCGGCCGTCTCGGTGTCCCACCCCGCGGACGTTTTTTCGTCGCCCCCGGGGCTTCCGCCCTCCGGCCGAGGTGCCGCCTCCGGTCCCGGGGCGGTTCCGCCGCCCCCGTCCGGGCCTCGGCTCTCGCTCGCTAGACCCGCCCCCGGCGTGCCCGGGCCTCCGTCGCCTCTCTCGGCGCCGCCGCCGTCGCCCCGAGCGGCGGCCGCTCCCCCGGGGTTGTCGCCGGACGGGGCAGCGTCGCCCGCCGGAGGGAGCGGCAGGTTGGGCACCGTCGGAGGCACGAGGCTGAAGAGGTATTGGTCGGCGGCGGCCTGGCTGGGGTCGAACTCGAAGGAGGGGTCGTAAACGTTCTCGTACGTGAGGTCGTCGTCGGGGTCGTCGTTGGGGTCGTCGTCGGGGTCGTCGTCGCGACGGGAATCCGTGGGGGCGGCCGCCGGAGGACCGGTGCCGTGGCCCTCCGCCTGGGAGTCGCTCGCCGGTCCCCCCGGCGACGCTGGTTCGTTGTCGCCGGCGCTGTCTAGGGGGGTGGGGGGGAGGTAACGGTGGTTCACGCGTGAGACCCCGAGTGTACACATGCTCACACGTGTGTGTACCTGTGGTGCTTGTGGGGAGCGGTGCTGTAGCGGTTAGCGCACTGCGCTATGAACCTGGCGACCCGAGGTTGATTCCCGCTCACGAACGACACGAGTGACGATTAACTGAACCGGTCCTGAGCCTTCCCTAGGTCGACTCAGCCTCAGATGAGTACGTGGGGCGATGTGTAAACATCGCCACTAGGGAGACAAAGGCCATCGGGCGTGGTGATGGCTACCCGCCCCCTCGTGTGCCATGCCGGCCTTCATAGGTGCTCGCTAACAGCACTTGCCCCAACAGCCTGTTACGGCTATATGGGGGATCTTTGTTCTTTTGTATGTTTCTACAGCTGGTGCATCTGCCAGTCATCTCAGTCAGCCAGCCCATGGCACCTGCTGGGTTTGTCCCGTGACCTCCTGTCAGCGAGCCTTTGACACTTCACATGGCCTCAAAGTGCACCTTGCCTGGCACAGGCGCCGTGGTGACATCACCGTCACTTAGTGCCAAAATGGCGGGTATTGGTGTAGTGTATTAACGGGCACAACACAGGGCTGGAGAAGAGATTTTCTCGGAGGATGTGGAGCCGAACGGTGTCAAGATCGGCCTCTGTAGAGGAGGAGGCTCATGAAGGACGCTACTGAGCAATACCAGGCTAGGTGTACGTTGAGGCTACTGGGCGTAGTTGGAGGCAGTTGCCCTCCAGCAACAACGAGCAGACAACAACGAGCAGAGATAAAATGCAGCAAGTTGGCACAGTAGGGGGCATAGGTGGTGCATCGGCTGTGACGTCAGCGTTTTCCCATACCTGGAGATTCTTGCTCCAGCTGTGACGGTGGAGTCGGTAACGCGGCCACAGCTGTTGTGGGGAAAGAAAGAAGAATAAACACAGCTGTGAAAGGGTTGCTTTGAAATTATCAACAAAGCCAGTGATTAAATGTATTTAAATTAATTTTATTTTATACCTACGTGACTTTACCGAAAGAACCACAGAGTGAAGCCGTGCTGTCACAAGAAACTCCTTTTCCCACTGACACATCCGAGCCGAGCCGTGCCGGCGATGCTCCGCTCGCTTCGCGGGACATCTGAATCTCGCTTGGGGCCAAGCAGGGCCAGAGCTCACACCTCTGTGACGTCAGGCAGCACGCGGCGAGGATGCGGCATTGCCGATGATCACTAACTCAAGCGAGGGCTGTACGACTGATAGTAGAACGGGCTATAGAGTTGCCGATGATCACTAACTGAAGCGAGGGCTGTACGACTGATAGCAGAAGGGGCTAGAGAGTTGCTGATGATCACTAACTGGAGCGAGGGCTGTACGACTGATAGTAGAAGGGGCTAGAGAGTTGCCGATGATCGCTAACTGAAGCGAGGGCTGTACGACTGATAGTAGAAGGGGCTAGAGAGTTGCCGATGATCGCTAACTGGAGCGAGGGCTGTACGACTGATAGTAGAAGAGGCTAGAGAGTTGCCGATGATCACTAACTGGAGCGAGGGCTGTTCGACTGATAGTAGAAGAGGCTAGAGAGTTGCCGATGATCACTAACTGAAGCGAGGGCTGTACGACTGATAGTAGAAGGGGCTAGAGAGTTGCTGATGATCACTAACTGGAGCGAGGGCTGTACGACTGATAGTAGAAGGGGCTAGAGAGTTGCCGATGATCGCTAACTGAAGCGAGGGCTGTACGACTGATAGTAGAAGGGGCTAGAGAGTTGCTGATGATCACTAACTGGAGTGAGGGCTGTATGACTGATAGTAGAAGGGGCTAGAGAGTTGCCGATGATCACTAACTGGAGCGAGGGCTGTTCCACTGATAGCAGAAGGGGCTAGAGAGTTGCCGATGATCGCTAACTGGAGCGAGGGCTGTACGACTGATAGTAGAAGAGGCTAGAGAGTTGCCGATGATCACTAACTGAAGCGAGGCTGTACGACTGATAGTAGAAGGGGCTAGAGAGTTGCTGATGATCACTAACTGAAGCGAGGGCTGTACGACTGATAGCAGAAGGGGCTAGAGAGTTGCCGATGATCACTAACTGGAGCGAGGGCTGTACGACTGATAGCAGAAGGGGCTAGAGAGTTGCTGATGATCACTAACTGAAGCGAGGCTGTACGACTGATAGTAGAAGGGGCTAGAGAGTTGCTGATGATCACTAACTGAAGCGAGGGCTGTACGACTGATAGTAGAACAGGCTATAGAGTTGCCGATGATCACTAACTGAAGCGAGGGCTGTACGACTGATAGTAGAACGGGCTATAGAGTTGCCGATGATCACTGACTGAAGCGAGGGCTGTACGACTGATAGTAGAACGGGCTATAGAGTTGCCGATGATCACTGACTGAAGCGAGGGCTGTACGACTGATAGTAGAAGGGGCTAGAGAGTTGCTGATGATCGCTAACTGAAGCGAGGGCTGTATGACTGATAGCAGAAGGGGCTAGAGAGTTGCCGATGATCACTAACTGGAGCGAGGGCTGTACGACTGATAGTAGAAGGGGCTAGAGAGTTGCTGATGATCACTAACTGAAGCGAGGGCTGTACGACTGATAGTAGAAGGGGCTAGAGAGTTGCTGATGATCACTAACTGGAGCGAGGGCTGTACGACTGATAGCAGAAGGGGCTAGAGAGTTGCCGATGATCACTAACTGGAGCGAGGGCTGTACGACTGATAGCAGAAGGGGCTATAGAGTTGCTGATGATCACTAGCTGGAGCGAGGGCTGTACGACTGATAGCAGAAGGGGCTAGGGAGTTGCTGATGACCACTAACTGGAGCGAGGGCTGTACGACTGATAGCAGAAGGGGCTAGAGAGTTGCCGATGATCGCTAACTGAAGCGAGGGCTGTACGACTGATAGTAGAACGGGCTATAGCGTTGCTGATGATCACTAACTGAAGCGAGGGCTGTACGACTGATAGCAGAAGGGGCTAGAGAGTTGCCGATGATCACTAACTGAAGCGAGGGCTGTACGACTGATAGCAGAAGGGGCTAGAGAGTTGCTGATGATCACTAACTGAAGCGAGGGCTGTACGACTGATAGTAGAAGAGGCTAGAGAGTTGCTGATGATCGCTAACTGAAGCGAGGGCTGTACGACTGATAGCAGAAGGGGCTAGAGAGTTGCCGATGATCACTAACTGAAGCGAGGGCTGTACGACTGATAGTAGAAGGAGCTAGAGAGTTGCTGATGATCACTAGCTGGAGCGAGGGCTGTACGACTGATAGTAGAAGGGGCTGGAGAGTTGCCGATGATCACTAACTGAAGCGAGGGCTGTACGACTGATAGCAGAAGGGGCTAGAGAGTTGCCGATGATCACTAACTGGAGCGAGGGCTGTACGACTGATAGCAGAAGGGGCTAGAGAGTTGCTGATGATCACTGACTGAAGCGAGGGCTGTACGACTGATAGTAGAAGGGGCTAGAGAGTTGCTGATGATCACTAACTGGAGCGAGGGCTGTACGACTGATAGTAGAAGGGGCTGGAGAGTTGCCGATGATCACTAACTGGAGCGAGGGCTGTACGACTGATAGCAGAAGGGGCTGGAGAGTTGCTGATGATCACTGACTGAAGCGAGGGCTGTACGACTGATAGTAGAAGGGGCTAGAGAGTTGCCGATGATCGCTAACTGGAGCGAGGGCTGTACGACTGATAGTAGAAGGGGCTGGAGAGTTGCCGATGATCACTGACTGGAGCGAGGGCTGTACGACTGATAGCAGAAGGGGCTAGAGAGTTGCCGATGATCACTGACTGGAGCGAGGGCTGTACGACTGATAGTAGAAGAGGCTAGAGAGTTGCTGATGATCACTAACTGAAGCGAGGGCTGTACGACTGATAGCAGAAGAGGCTAGAGAGTTGCTGATGATCACTAACTGGAGCGAGGGCTGTACGACTGATAGTAGAAGGGGCTAGAGAGTTGCCGATGATCACTAACTGAAGCGAGGGCTGTACGACTGATAGTAGAACGGGCTATAGAGTTGCCGATGATCACTAACTGAAGCGAGGGCTGTACGACTGATAGCAGAAGGGGCTATAGAGTTGCTGATGATCATTAACTGAAGCGAGGGCTGTACGACTGATAGTAGAAGAGGCTAGAGAGTTGCCGATGATCACTAACTGAAGCGAGGGCTGTACGACTGATAGTAGAACGGGCTATAGAGTTGCCGATGATCACTAACTGAAGCGAGGGCTGTACGACTGATAGTAGAACGGGCTATAGAGTTGCTGATGATCACTAACTAAAGCGAGGGCTGTACGACTGATAGTAGAACGGGCTATAGAGTTGCCGATGATCACTAACTGAAGCGAGGGCTGTACGACTGATAGTAGAACGGGCTATAGAGTTGCCGATGATCGCTAACTGGAGCGAGGGCTGTACGACTGATAGTAGAAGAGGCTAGAGAGTTGCCGATGATCGCTAACTGAAGCGAGGGCTGTACGTCTGATAGTAGAAGAGGCTAGAGAGTTGCCGATGATCGCTAACTGAAGCGAGGGCTGTACGACTGATAGTAGAAGGGGCTAGAGAGTTGCCGATGATCGCTAACTGAAGCGAGGGCTGTACGACTGATAGTAGAAGGGGCTAGAGAGTTGCTGATGATCGCTAACTGAAGCGAGGCCTGTATGACTGATAGTAGAAGGGGCTAGAGAGTTGCTGATGATCACTAACTGAAGCGAGGGCTGTACGACTGATAGTAGAAGGGGCTAGAGAGTTGCTGATGATCACTAACTGAAGTGAGGCCTGTATGACTGATAGTAGAAGGGGCTAGAGAGTTGCCGATGATCACTGACTGGAGCGAGGGCTGTACGACTGATAGTAGAAGGGGCTAGAGAGTTGCCGATGATCACTAACTGAAGCGAGGGCTGTACGACTGATAGCAGAAGGGGCTAGAGAGTTGCCGATGATCACTAACTGGAGCGAGGGCTGTACGACTGATAGTAGAAGGGGCTAGAGAGTTGCTGATGATCACTAACTGAAGCGATGGCTGTACGACTGATAGCAGAAGGGGCTAGAGAGTTGCTGATGATCACTAACTGAAGCGAGGGCTGTACGACTGATAGCAGAAGGGGCTAGAGAGTTCCTGATGATCACTAACTGAAGCGAGGGCTGTACGACTGATAGCAGAAGGGGCTAGAGAGTTGCTGATGATCACTAACTGGAGCGAGGGCTGTACGACTGATAGTAGAAGGGGCTAGAGAGTTGCCGATGATCACTAACTGAAGCGAGGGCTGTACGACTGATAGTAGAAGGGGCTAGAGAGTTGCCGATGATCACTAACTGAAGCGAGGGCTGTACGACTGATAGTAGAACGGGCTATAGAGTTCCTGATGATCACTAACTGAAGCGAGGGCTGTACGACTGATAGAGAAGGGGCTAGAGAGTTGCCGATGATCACTAACTGGAGCGAGGGCTGTACAACTGATAGCAGAAGGGGCTAGAGAGTTGCTGATGATCACTAACTGAAGCGAGGGCTGTACGACTGATAGCAGAAGGGGCTAGAGAGTTGCCGATGATCGCTAACTGGAGCGAGGGCTGTACGACTGATAGTAGAAGGGGCTATAGAGTTGCCGATGATCGCTAACTGGAGCGAGGGCTGTACAACTCCCGAGTAGAAGAGGCTACAGAGTTGCCGATGATCGCCAGCAAGGACGAGACCTTGGTCGCAGACTTCCCCCTCCCAGCCGGGCGGACATTCGCATCGGAAGCGCGTGTCCGTGTTGTGGCAGGTCCCTCCGTTCTGGCACGGGGTGAAGCGTCCACACCAGTCCAGAGCGACTGCGAAGACAAAGGTCACACCGCCCCCCACCAGGTAGCCTCAACAGACTTTCGGGGGCAAGTGCTGTCAGTAGCGAGTAGCAGCGCCTATGAAGGCCGGCACTGTGGCACACACGAGGCGGGTGAAGGGCAGATCTTTGCCTTCTGGCGCGAGGAAGCCACTTGGAGCTGCGCACTCGGTAATCGTCGTCTAGAGCAGCGGTCGGGAACCTATGGCTCGCGAGCCATACATGGCTCTTCCGGTGACGGCATATGGCTCCCAGACAATTTAGAGTTGAAAAAAAAATCAGTTTGGAACTGATTTTAAAATACTTGCGATATTGTTTAATAATACTGTGTCGTTTTAAAGTAAACAGAAATTAGTTTTGAAGATAAATTTCACGGGTCACGCCTGCATGAAGCTCAACCTCACCACGTATGAACCAGACTACAAGGCCATCAGCAAAACCACGCAGCACCAGAAGTCGCATTAAAAGACATATTTAATTTATTATACGTTAAAAATACTATATGGCTCTCAATGAAATATATTTAGAAATATTTGGCTTTTATGGCTCTCCCAGTCAAAAAGTTTCCCGACCCCTGGTCTAGAGATTGAGAAAAGCTCACTCCTTTAGAATGTAGTGGACCGCGCTAATCGTTGGTGCGGGGCGGAGGGGAAGAACAGCAAACTAAAGACACAAAACGTCTCTGAAGAAATGAGTTTGTCAATGTAGATCATTTAAAAGTGTATAGCTCCAGTGGCTTCCTAATAACGGTGTAGTGTATAGTAGTGTAGCATTTAGTAGTGTAGTGTGTAGTCGTGAAATGTATAGTGTAAGTGCATAGTGTATTGTATAGTAGTGTAGTGTGTCGTTGCGTATAGTGTAGTAGTGTAAAGTATAGTGTATAGTATAGTAGTATCATGCATAATAGTGTAATGCGTAGCAGTTTGTGTGTATGTTGAACTTCTTTCGCACCGTACGTAGCCAACCCTGCAAATGTGAGGTGCCGGGGGGAAGGACAACAAACTAAACACAACAACAACAAGAAGCAGCTCTAAAGAAGTGAGTTTGTCAATCTAGATGATGATGATGATGATTTTAAAGTGACGTAGCTCCAGTAGCGTACTAATATCGGAAGGAAGAACGTTCCAGACGGCCGCAAGAAGCGCATCTGAAAGCGCCGCGCGACGATGCGGCGACTGCCGTCTTTGATTCGACGGCTCAGCCAAAAGCCGCTGCGCAGTGCTGCGAGAATGACCAGAGTCCACGTGGCCTCATCCTGTGACGTCACCACTCTCTCCCTCTCTCATGCCCCGCCTCATCCTGTGACGTCACCACTCTCTCTCCCTCTCTCATGCCCCGCCTCATTCTGTGACGTCACCACTCTCTCCCTCTCTCATGCCCCGCCTCATTCTGTGACGTCACCACTCTCTCTCATGCCCCGCCTCATTTTGTGACGTCACTACTATCTCCCTCTCTCATTCTGTGACGTCACCACTCTCCCCCTCTCTCATGCCCCGCCTTCTTTTGCCTTTTCTTCGTGACGTCATCTTAACAGTCACCTGGGAACCCGTGGGTATTTCTACCGCCGGATCGCGTAAGTATTAGCACTACATATATATAAAATTCAAGACAGATAGATGATCGATGGATGATCGATGGATGATCGATAGACGATCGATGGACGATCGATGGATGATCGATGGATGATCGATGGATGATCGATGGATGATCGATGGATGCATCTGATACGCCCCCCCCGGGGGTGGGTGCACGGGGCAAGGTGCGGGGGGGGGGGGATGAGGCGAACCGAAGTAGTTGATCGAGAATCCTCCGAAGGAGACGGACGCGTCGCTCGTGAAGGTGAGGCGAGCCGCCCCGAGGCCCGACAGCGCCGACAGCGACGAGACGTCCACCTGAGACTCGCGCCAGCAGAACGCCTGCGTCGACTCGGGCTCGCCGGGTCTCTGGGGGACACGGGGACACGGGAAGAGAGGGACACGGGGAGACAGAGACACGGGGAGACACGGGAAGAGAGGGACACGGGGAGACAGAGACACGGGACACAGGGAGACAGACAGAACGCCTGCATCAACTCGGGCTCGCCGGGCCTCTGGGGGACACGGAGAGACACGGGGAGACAGAGAAGGAGACAGAGACATGGGGAGACACGGGGACACGGGAAGAGAGGGACACGGGACACGGGGAGACAGACAGAACGCCTGCGTCGACTCTGGCTCCCTGGGCCTCTGGTGGAACACACGGAGAGACACGGGGACACGGGGAGATACGGGGAGAGAGGGACACGGGGAGACAGAGACACGGGACACAGGGAGACAGACAGAACGCCTGCGTTGACTCGGGCTCCCCGGGCCTCTGAGACACACGGGGACACAGGGAGACAGTGACATGCAGACGGCCGCAGAAGCGTTTCTACATATCGGAAGTCCATCTAAATATCGGAAGGGAAGAGCTGTCCAGATGGCCGCAGAAGTGCATCTACATATCGGAAGCGCATCGAAATATCGTAAGGGAAAAGCGTTCCAGACGGACGCGGAAGTGCATCGAAATATCGGAAGTGGAGAGCATTCCAGACGGTCGCATAATTGCATCCAAATATCGGAAGTGCATCTAAATATCGTAAGGAAAGAGCGTTTCAGACGGCCGCAGAAGCACATCTAAATATCGGAAGTGGAGAGCGTTCCAGACGGCCGCGGAAGGGCATCGAAATATCGTAAGTGGAGAGCGTTCCAGACGGCCACAGAAGGGCATCTAAATATCGGAATGGAAGAGCGTTCCAGACGGCCGCAGAAGGGCATCTAAATATCGTAAGTGGAGAGCGTTCCAGACGGCCACAGAAGGGCATCTAACTATCGTAAGTGGAGAGCGTTCCAGACGGCCACAGAAGAGCATCTAAATATCGGAATGGAAGAGCGTTCCAGACGGCCGCAGAAGGGCATCTAAATATCGTAAGTGGAGAGCGTTCCAGACGGCCACAGAAGGGCATCTAACTATCGTAAGTGGAGAGCGTTCCAGACGGCCACAGAAGCGCATCTAAGTATCGTGAGTGGAGAGCGTTCCAGACGGCCACAGAAGGGCATCTAACTATCGTAAGTGGAGAGCGTTCCAGACGGCCACAGAAGGGCATCTAACTATCGTGAGTGGAGAGCGTTCCAGACGGCCACAGAAGGGCATCTAAATATCGTAAGTGGAGAGCGTTCCAGACGGCCACAGAAGGGCATCTAACTATCGTGAGTGGAGAGCGTTCCAGACGGCCACAGAAGGGCATCTAAATATCGTAAGTGGAGAGCGTTCCAGACGGCCACAGAAGGGCATCTAACTATCGTGAGTGGAGAGCGTTCCAGACGGCCACAGAAGGGCATCTAAATATCGTAAGTGGAGAGCGTTCCAGACGGCCGCAGAAGGGCATCTAAATATCGTAAGTGGAGAGCGTTCCAGACGGCCACAGAAGGGCATCTAACTATCGTAAGTGGAGAGCGTTCCAGACGGCCACAGAAGCGCATCTAAGTATCGTAAGTGGAGAGCGTTCCAGACGGCCACAGAAGGGCATCTAAATATCGTAAGTGGAGAGCGTTCCAGACGGCCGCATAATTGCATCTAAATATCGTAAGTGGAGAGCGTTCCAGACGGCCGCAGAAGGGCATCTAAATATCGTAAGTGGAGAGCGTTCCAGACGGCCACAGAAGGGCATCTAAATATCGTAAGTGGAGAGCGTTCCAGACGGCCACAGAAGGGCATCTAACTATCGTGAGTGGAGAGCGTTCCAGACGGCCACAGAAGGGCATCTAAATATCGTAAGTGGAGAGCGTTCCAGACGGCCGCAGAAGGGCATCTAAATATCGTAAGTGGAGAGCGTTCCAGACGGCCACAGAAGGGCATCTAACTATCGTAAGTGGAGAGCGTTCCAGACGGCCACAGAAGCGCATCTAAGTATCGTAAGTGGAGAGCGTTCCAGACGGCCACAGAAGGGCATCTAAATATCGTAAGTGGAGAGCGTTCCAGACGGCCGCATAATTGCATCTAAATATCGTAAGTGGAGAGCGTTCCAGACGGCCGCAGAAGGGCATCTAAATATCGTAAGTGGAGAGCGTTCCAGACGGCCGCATAATTGCATCTAAATATCGTAAGTGGAGAGCGTTCCAGACGGCCACAGAAGGGCATCTAAATATCGTAAGTGGAGAGCGTTCCAGACGGCCGCATAATTGCATCTAAATATCGTAAGTGGAGAGCGTTCCAGACGGCCGCAGAAGGGCATCTAAGTATCGTGAGTGGAGAGCGTTCCAGACGGCCGCAGAAGGGCATCTAAATATCGTAAGTGGAGAGCGTTCCAGACGGCCACAGAAGGGCATCTAAATATCGTAAGTGGAGAGCGTTCCAGACGGCCGCATAATTGCATCTAAATATCGTAAGTGGAGAGCGTTCCAGACGGCCGCATAATTGCATCCAAATATCGTAAGTGGAGAGCGTTCCAGACGGCCGCAGAAGTGCATCTAAATATCGTAAGTGGAGAGCGTTCCAGACGGCCGCATAATTGCATCCAAATATCGTAAGTGGAGAGCGTTCCAGACGGCCGCAGAAGCACAACTAAATATCGTAAGTGGAGAACGTTCCAGACGGCCGCATAATTGCATCCAAATATCGTAAGTGGAGAGCGTTCCAGACGGCCGCAGAAGTGCATCCAAATATCGGAAGTGCATCTAAATATCAGAAGCGCATCTAAATATCAGAAGCGCATCTAAATATCGTAAGTGGAGAGCGTTCCAGACGGCCGCATAATTGCATCCAAATATCGTAAGTGGAGAGCGTTCCAGACGGCCGCAGAAGCACAACTAAATATCGTAAGTGGAGAGCGTTCCAGACGGCCGCAGAAGTGCATCCAAATATCGGAAGTGCATCTAAATATCAGAAGCGCATCTAAATATCAGAAGCGCATCTAAATATCGTAAGTGGAGAGCGTTCCAGACGGCCGCGGGATGGGTGCGTCGTCGCGCCCAGGCAGCCGGTTGGGGGGTGGTGGTGTCACTTACGTCGCCTCCCAGCGTGACGCTGAGCGAGTCGTACTGGCAGCTGGGCGAGAACTCGACGTCGATGTAGGAGAGGCGCACGAATGTCCTCTCACTGGGCCACGAGTCGAGGTGCCAGACGCAGTGCGCGTTGTGCGGGTACTGTCCCCACTGGGGGCCGTAGCGCACGGTGCCCTGCGGGTCGCGGCCCACGTCGATGCGCCCGCCGCACGCCTCGTACAGGCCGGCGAACGCCGAACCTGGGGGGGGGCGTGTCGGATGGTGCATCCATCGATCGTCCATCGATCGTCCATCGATCGTCCATCGATCGTCCATCGATCATCCATCGATCGTCCATCGATCGTCTATCGATCATCCATCGATCATCCATCGAACATCCATCGATCGTCCATCGATCATCCATCGATCATCCATCGATCATCTATCGATCATCCATCGATCATCCATCGATCGTCTATCAATCATCCATCGATCATCCATCGATCATCCATCGATCGTCTATCGATCATCCATCGATCATCCATCGATCATCCATCGATCGTCTATCGATCGTCCATCGATCATCCATCGATTATCCATCGATCATCTATCTGTCTTGTATTTATCTGCTATCCCTATCTCAATATTAGCAAAAACAACGCATCCATGGCCACGCCGTGTTACGTGACGTCTAAAACATATCGCGTGGAGGGGGAAGGGGAGGGGGGCGGGGGGGGGGGGAGGGGGGCGGGGGGCGGGGGGGGGAGGGGGCGGGGGGGAGGGGGGTTAACGGGAGGCTGAATTTGTGACTTCGAGTTCATCATCAGAATCGGATTTATTTAGACCGGCGGGAGGAGGGGGGAGGAGGAGGAGAAGGTGGAGGGGGGGAGGAGGGAGAGGGTGGAGGGGGAGAAGGGGGAGGAGGGGGAGGAGGGGGAGAAGGGGGAGAAGGAGGGGAGGGAGGAGGGGGGGAGGGAGGGGGGAGGAGTAGGGAGAAGGAGGGGGGAGGAGGATGGAGAGGAGGGGGAGGAGAAGGGGAGAGAGGGGGAGGAGGAGGGGGGGAGGATGTAGGGGAGGGTGGGGTAGGAGGGGGAGGAGGTGGAGGGGAGGGAGGGAGGGAGGGAGGGGGGGAGTAACTTTCGATGCTATCGGAACGAATCCAGCCTGCACCATCGTGGTTTCTCCTCCACTCGCTTCACGACCAAATCACTGAACGAGCGGTTTGCTGGAAGCAAAAAGCGTCGTGACGAGGGAGCTGACTGGAGATACAAATACAACTTCACTATGTTTTTAAATCTTACCAGACGAGGCCCACTGACCCTAAGGGGTGTCAGAGAGAGAGACACGCAAACTCCAAATATACAGCAGCAGGCATTGTCAGAGTCGGAATCGAACCCACGACCTCCTGTGCACCAGGCGAGGTAGTTAACATCTCCTAGCCACCGTGATGATGATGATGATGAGAGAGAGAGACACGCAAACTCAAAATATACAGCAGCAGGCGTCAGGGTCGGGATCGAACCCACGACCTCCTGTACACCAGGCGAGGTAGTTAACATATCTGTAGCCATCGGTCACTCACTCATTCGCTCGCTCACTCGCTCAGTCACTCACTCGCTCACTCACTCGCTCACTCACTCGTTCGGTCACTCGCTCGCTTGGTCACTCACTCACTCGCTCAATCACTCGCTCGCTCGCTCACTCGCTCGCTCGCTCACTCACTCACTCGTTCGGTCACTCGCTCGCTCGGTCACTCACTCACTCACTCCACTCCGCTCGCTCACTCACTCACTCGCTCGCTCACTTGCTCGGTCGCTCACTCACTCGCTCGCTCAATCGCTCGCTCGCTCACTCGCTCGCTCGGTCACTCACTCACTCGCTCACTCACTCGTTCGGTCACTCGCTCGCTCGGTCACTCACTCACTCGGTCACTCACTCACTCGCTCAATCACTCACTCACTCGTTCGGTCACTCACTCGCTCGGTCATTCACTCACTCGGTCAATCACTCACTCGCTCACTCGCTCGCTCACTCGTTCGGTCACTCGTTCGCTCGGTCACTCACTCACTCGCTCAATCACTCGCTCGCTCACTCGGTCGGTCACTCGCTCGCTCGGTCACTCACTCACTCGCTCAATCACTCGCTCGCTCACTCACTCGGTCACTCACTCGCTCACTCACTCACTCGGTCGGTCACTCGCTCACTCACTCGCTTGGTCACTCGCTCACTGACTCACTCTCTCACTCACTCACTCGCTCGGTCACTCGCTCACTCGCTCACTCGCTCGGTCACTCACTCATTCACTCACTCACTCGCTCACTCACTCGCTCGGTCACTCGCTCGCTCACTCACTCGCTGGCTCACTCACTCGCTCGGTCACTCACTCATTCATTCACTCGCTCACTCACACACTCACTTACTCACTCACCTGCCCACAGGAGAAGGAACAAGGCGCCCTGCAGCAGCAGCAACATCGCCAGGAGCCGACGATCCAGACGCGCGCAGTGCGGTGGAGAGACGCGAACGGGGAAGCCTGCGTCTGTGTGCGTGCGCGTGTCTGCGTGTGCGCGTGTGTTAGTGCGTACGTGTGCGTGTGTCTGCGTGTGCGCGCGCGTGCGTGTGGGGAGACGCGAACGGGGAAGCCTGCGTCTGTCTGCGTGCGCGTGTCTGTGTGCGCGTGTGTCTGTGCGCGCGCGCGTGTGCGTGTGGGGAGCGGTGGGGCAGCGGTTAGCGCCACGCTGCGCTACGAACCGGTACTGGGCCTCCCCTTGGTCGACTCAGCCTCAAATGAGTACCTGGGTGCGGTGTGTAGTAAACATCGCCACTGGGGAGACAAAGGCGGTCGGGCGTGGTTGCTGCCACTGTGCCTGCCTTCACTGGCGCTGCTGCTCGCTACTAACAGCACTTGCCCCCTCAGTCTGTGGGGCCGTTCATAAATGACGTCACGCGATTTTGGACAATTTTTGACCGCCCCCCCTTCGTCACACGGCGTCACAAAAAGTCAAAAATCGCGTGACGTCATTTATGGACGGCCCCAAGCCCCCCGCCCCCATTGAGTTATGTAGTCGATCTTTTTCAGAAGCGACCACCTGGATATCAGAAGATGATAACTCAACGAGGTTGGCGGCTTATCGTCGTCATCATCATCACGTGGAAATGTTTCGCAGAAGCCAAAGAACTCGTCGTGATGTCGATTCTAAACGTGGAGTGGAAAATAAACTTAGAGGACCCGGAGATGAAATTCCACGCGACCACCGGGCAGAGAGAGAGAGACACGCAAACTCCAAATATACAGCAGCAGGCGTCAGGGTCGGGATCGAACCCATGACCTCCTGTGTACCAGCCGAGGTAGTTAACATCTCCTAGCCACCGTGATGATGATGAGAGAGAGAAACACGCAAACTCCAAATATACAGCAGCAGGCGTCAGGGTCAGGATCGAACCCACGAACTCCTGCACACCAGGCGAGGTAGTCAATATCTCCTAGCCACCGTGATGATGATGAGAGAGAGAGAGACACGCAAACTCCAAATATACAGCAGCAGGCGTCAGGGTCGGGATGAAACCCACGACCTCCTGTATACCGGGCGAGGTAGTTAACATCTCCTAGCCACCGTGATGATGAGAGAAAGAGAGAGACACGCAAACTCCAAATATACAACAGCAGCAGGCGTCAGGGTCGGGATCGAACCCACGACCTCCTGTGTACCGGGCCAGGTAGTTAACATATCCTAGCCACCGTGATGATGATGAGAGAGAGAGAGACACGCAAACTCCAAATATACAGCAGCAGGCGTCAGGGTCGAGATGGAACCCACGACCTCCTGCACACCAGGCGAGGTAGTTAACATCTCCTAGCCACCGTGATGATGAGAGAGACACGCAAACTGCAAATATACAGCAGACGTCAGCGTCGGGATTGAACCCATGATCTCCTGTATACCTGGCGAGGTAGTTAACATCTCCTAGCCACCGTGATGATGATGAGAGAGAGACACGCAAACTCCAAATATACAGCAGCAGGCATCGTCAGGGTCGAGATCGAACCTACGACCTCCTGTATACAAGGCGAGGTAGTTAACATCTCCTAGCCACCGTGATGATGATGAGAGAGAGACACGCAAACTCCAAATATACAGCAGCAGCAGGCGTCAGGGTCGAGATCGAACCCACGACCTCCTGTACACCAGGCGAGGTAGTTAACATCTCCTAGCCACCGTGATGATGAGAGAGAGACACGCAAACTCCAAATATACAGCAGCAGGCGTCAGGGTCGGGATCGAACCCATGACCTCCTGTGTACCAGGCGAGGTAGTTAACATCTCCTAGCCACCGTCAAGGGTTGTGTTTCACAACGCAACTTTTGCCAACGTCTCTCTAGCGCCCTCTGCCGCGTGGCATCTCTCTCGCCACGTGACGCTGCTCACGCCTCGTCACGTGACGCATGCCGCAGTGCTCGCTGGGACCTGGCCGCGTTTGACCAATGGGAGGGCGCTGCACGTGGAGCCCCGGGACGATTTGAAATCTCGACGAGAAGGAAAATCGACGAGAAATGTTTTAACGACGAAATGAAAATAGCGGCCACTGTGTTTATTCTGATTGCAAGTTGCGAATTCATGTTCTCATTTGGTAAATAATTCATATTTGTTTTTTTTTTACTACGTATTCTTTCTTTGGCTAAACTCCTGCCCTGAGAATTAAACTAATTCAGTTGAACACATCCGTAGGCTTTCGCGAACAATATTGTTTTTGGGTTTGATCGCGTAAATATAAATGTGTCGTTAAATCCGCCACCACCCGGCTACACAACCGATGAGTGACGGGTTCATCTTCTTGGTTCTTTCGGTAAAGTGACGTAGAAGGGAAATAATAATAATTAAACATAAAATAATTCTCACGACGTTTATTGTTTTATTTTTATTATTTCCCTTCTACGTGACTTTACCGAAAGAACCAAGAAGATGAATCCCTGCAGTCACGAAAGAAGCTTTAAATCGAAAGAGTGACGGGTTGTCACGTGAACAAAATTACCGGCGAAATGTCACGGTTACTCGAATTATTAATATTGTCGTGAATTTACTTTCCTACAAACAACCAGTTAGTACTGAACTAGTATACTACACTATACACTACACTATAATTGTAAATATTGTCGTGGATTTATTTTCCTACAAACAACCAGTTAGTACTGAACTAGTATACTACACTATACACTACACTATATAATTGTAAATGTTGTAGTGGGTTAATAACGGTGTAGTGTATAGTAGTGTAGCATATAGTAGTGTAGTGTGTAGTCGTGAAATGTATAGTGTAAGTGAAAATTTGAAAAAAAGTGGCTGTGGTTTTCACACCTGATGACGATTGCTTGTGTTGCAATCGAAACGTCGTGAGAATTGTATTATTTAATATTTATATTATTTTATTATTTCCCTTCTACATGACTTTAAACAAAAAAACCAAGAATATGAATCCCTGCAGTCACGAAAGCTTTAAAATCAAATTTTACACTATAATTGTAAATGTTATAGTGGGTTTACTCTCCAACACACAACTGGTATGTCCTGAACTAGTATACTACACTATACACTACATCATAATTGTAAATGTTGTCGTTGGTTTACTTTCCAACACACAGCCGATGTGTTGAACTACTGGGCATTGTGAACTGGTGGACATCTGTGAAAGAGCTCTAAAACTTATCGGATACACTTCAGTAGAAATATTTTTAAGTGGTAAACCCTCAACTAATTGGCTGTGTGGTGGCGGGGTTAACGACACGCGTTTATATTTACGCGATCCAACACCCCCCCAAAAAAACCTTCGATTGTGGATGATGAAACTAATTCTTTGGCGACGCTGCTGCATTGGCAGTGGTGCAAATTCATCGACAAGCGTGGGCTTAAAAATATATATAATCGGCAATGGAAAATGTTGACGCGTGACATGAAGGGCCTATTGCCCGAAACGTCGAATTACATATATATTTTTACTTTAAAGGCCATGGCATTGACTGTCAGAGCATCGTTTCAACAGATGACACGACCTTTAAAGCCATTCCACGCGTTTAGTGTACACGCTGTACAACATCATTGGTACCTCATTTGCCAGTAAAAAACATGATAATTGGTTTTTTACCCTTTTATCTGGCAACGCTGTGTCGTGTTCCCCGAGCGTTAGTGAGATTAGAAACGTGGCCACCACCTTATGTGTAGTGTTCACGTTGGTGTTATGTGTTCATAAATAGTGTTGCCTCCAAGTCGAGTGGGCGCATCTATCGAACCCATTACAGATATATCTAAACCAAGCAGATGTTTTTTGTGTGCTTGAAGCTATTGCTTTTGTTTTGAAATCTTCCATGTACAAATTCGCAATCACAGGAGACAAAGGAGAGCCCATTGCTGTACCTTCCTTATGAACAAAATCGACTTACGAACGGACCTCTGAAACCCAACTCGTTCGTAAGTAGAGGAGTTCCCCTGTGTCGGCTCGACTTTAGTTGCGCCACCGAGCAGCGTCAACTCTCCTTCGGCAGAGCGGGGGGGGTAACTGCGCTGCCCTCTGCTGTGCGCCACGCGACCGAAACGTCGGACAAACGACACTCAACGTCGCGTCGCACGGCTCTTTCAGGACACGTCTGCGAACGTCGCCAGGAGGCACACGGGGGAGGCTCGCGCGAGGCAAAGTCAACATCTACGAAGCCACCGAGGCTTTACGGGGGGGGGGGGGGGGGGCGCCAGAGGTCGCAAACGGGTTTTGATTCCTTACCCGTACCTGTACCCGGCCGCACCAGGGTCGCAAACGGGTACGCGTACCCGGCCGGGTATCGGGTAGGGTACGGGTATCGGGTACCCGATTGCGACCTCTGGGATGAAGCCATGTTGCAGGCGCGGGTGGGTGATTCTAGGAACTTGAATTGTGAGAAGAGACAAGACGTTGGGAATTGAGTGACAAACGGTGACTCACCAGTGACTCACGGCCTACCCGTACCCGGCCGCACCAGGGTGGCAAACGGCTACTGTACCCGGCCGGGTACGGTAGCCGGGTATCGGGTAGGGTACTTGGTGTCGGGTAGGGTACGGGGTATCGGGTAGAGAACGGGCAGGGTACGGTATCGGGTAGGGGTCCGGGTATCGGGTAGGGGAACGGGTATCGGTAGGGTCCGGGTATCAGGTAGGGTACGGGTATCGGGTAGGGTTACGGGTATCGGGTAGGGTACGGGTATCGGGTAGGGTACAGGTATCGTGGTAGGGTACGGGTATCGGGTAGGGTAGGGTATCGGGTAGGGTACGGGTATCAGGTAGGGTACGTGTATCGGTAGGGGTACGGGTATCGGGTAGGGTACGGGTATCGGGTAGGGTACACGGTATCGGGTAGGGTACGGGTATCGGGTAGGGTACGGGTATCGGGTAGGGTACGGTATCGGGTAGGGTACGGGTATCGGGTAGGGTAGGGTACGGTATCGGGTAGGGAACAGGGTATCGGGTAGGGACGGGTATCGGGTATGTACAGGTATCGGGTAGGGTACGGGTATCAGGTAGGGTACGGGTATCGGGTAGGGTACGGTATCGGTA